TATGTAAATGCTGGTTGTAACCTGAATTTCTGCTGACAAGCCCTCCCTGATGAACAAACGTGTGTGGTGTCAGCAGTGCCAGCCCTGCACTTTCCACCTCTGCCCAAGACTCTGCTAGCACTTGAAGTGTGGCTTTGCTGACAGTGCAGACCTGCAGGCAGGTCTAGGATAGAGAAATGGGTCAAGAGGTTTGAAAATACTGTCTTAAATCAACTCATGCTGTGTGGTGACTTGGCTTAGCCATGGTTTCTGGTGAGCTTCCTGTGTGGGGAGAGTCTGTGCTGGTGTTAAACCCTGTTTTGGGGATGTGTCAGCCCATCCCTGCTCTGTGGCTTTGAGGGTCTTGTGGCAGTGAGGATGGAGACTGGCAGCCTTCAGAGTACTCACAGGAGGCAACAGCCACTTGTAATCAAGAGTAGGATTAACTCAATCCAAGACTTCCCATTCACTTGCATCCTTGCTCTTCCTTTTCATTGTGTTGGGCCTAAATTGCCAATGTCATCCAATTCTGGCAGAATCAAAGCTCAACCAGTAAGACTCTTTCTCCATGTGGTCCAGTATTGAGTAGAGGTTTAGCAAATAACAGGTGACAGGGAAAAAAAAAATCCTCTTCCTGTTTTAGCTACTCACATTTAATGGCTGTATTAATGTTCTACTTGCTTGTGGTTATCAGTGGAAATGGTTAGGATAAATGTGGAATTTGAGATTATTTTATAGACCAAAACATCAGAAACGAGCTTCAATTGTACTTTTATCCCTGAAAGCAGCCTAGGACTCCAGATTCTCCTTTTGGCAAATGATTGTTAGAAGTGAATTGAAGCCAGAAGCAAGTGCCCCATCTGCACATTTCTTCCACCATAATGCAGTATCTGTGTGGTGCAGGCAAAGCAGCGGGCTGCAGACTGTACTTCAGACTTTTCAAACCCATTTCAGAATCTTTATTGGGAAAAAAAATAATCACGGCATCTCAACTGTTATTCAAACACATTTAATAAACAAAGAGAAACAGTAGCAAAGGGCACTGACATGTGACAAACTGTACAAAACCTCCGGGTAGGAGCCCATGGCCCGGCTACTCCGGCCCCTGCCCCGCAGCCAACCAGGCCCCCTTCGCCTCAGCCCACTCAGTCACCCCTGAGAAAAATCAGTTTTTAAAAATGTGCAGAAACAAAGACACTTCAAGAGGTTATTTCCAGTCTTGCCATAATGAAACAATTTAGGCCACTGGGAAAATTTTTAAAAAAAGTAAAGTGTCATACACTCCATTCCCAGGATTAATGCTTTAAAGTGAATCTTCGCAAGAGGCATAAGCACTCTTGGACAGGCAGATCTACCCCTGCTCTCCTACTCTGCCCACAACACGCTATACTTTATTAGAGTGAACGGGACAAATTTCATCCTAATTCAGCACTAATTTTGATATAGTTGTGACTGAGTGAAAGGCAATGGAAGGAAAAGCCTTGTTCGAGCACAGAAGGGATGCAACTGGTGCATAATGCTGAGACCAGCCCTGTCTAAGGGTAAAGGTGACTTAGCACAGTTAGGGAAGAGAAATCCTTCACTGGGAATGTACCTGCTCTGGATGGACTTCATGCCTGGTCCTAAATATCACTCAAAAACTTGAGCATCCAGTACCAATGACTGGTTTTCTACCATAAACTTGTTCCACTGAACTTCAAAGGACCCTGCAATGGAACCCAAAGAGTCCATGGTCCCCTGGCACCTTCTCGCTGCCAAAAGCAGCACAAAAGGGAAAATCAAGATGCAACTCTGATTTTTCTTGTGCTCATCAGTTAAGCAGCTGTGCCATTCACCTGCTAATGGTCACTTTTAGGCTCTCTGTGGCTCAGAGGGGAGAGCGATGGCATCACTGCATCAGGCAAACCCTCCAGCGGGCTTCACCATGTGTGGCATTTTTGGTGACACAAAAAAGCCAGGGAAGTGTTTGTTATTCTTGTCTACTTGAGCTGTACTGGACAGAAAGTTTACCTCTGCAGCCAGTGTTGCTTTGAGCTCTATGGTTTAACAAAGTGCTCAGCTGGCATCAATGTGACAAACACAGCCTGACCTGTTCCTGTTGCCTCTGGTTTGGTATTTCTTGACCAGTTCCCAAAAACTCCCTCCTCTGAGGAAGGGGAATAAGACAAATGAGATTGTTAAAGCGCTTTTCAGGCTGCTAACTTGCATACATGTGCTTGATTTCTTAGCTATGAGCACATAGAGTGGCTGAGGCTACAGCATAGGGACAGAGGAGGGAGATCTGTACACATCACAGTGTTGTTCAGGCCCAGCCAAGGTGTGTAGTCTGATCACACCAACACCAGCTCACCATGTTATAAACGGGGCAGATGGAGGGAAGCAGAGCTGGGTTTTTCAGTGTGATGGAAAGCCAGCTGTGATTCAACAGCCTGTCATTGACACAATGTGAATTCAAAGACATTTGGCACAGTCTGTTGTTACCAGGACCAATCTAGCACAGACAATTAACCAGTCTGTCTTGAGAATGAGGCAAGGGCTCCACCCGAGGTACACTGGCAAAGCAGGATGGAGGACAGGCAAGAGGACATGCAGAAGGACTGGAGAGAGGCAGAACACAGCCGTGCCACTCAAGTGTCTTTGCTGCACACCTTGGTTGCTGAACTGGTTGTTGGACTGTTGGTAGGACCCTCTCAGCAACAAGTGGTTAAGATGGAAAACTTACCTAATTCTGTGTCAAAACTTTCAGGAGAACATGGGTAGCTGAAGCCCTCCAGAAAGGAGTCCAACCCCTCAGTCCAGGTGAGGGATCTTCTGGTAGCTTATTGAGAAACATCTGCTCTGAGCTTGTCAATGTCTGAATTCCAGCATCTCCGAAGCTTTGCTGTAATGTCAGTTTGGGACTTGACTGAAAATGACCCAAGTGCCAGGACACTCAGGCTACAAAGAACAAAGCCAGGATGAAAGGGGGAAAACATGCAGCAAATTCCTATGAAATTCCATTTACCAGACTAGGAGGGACATGCCCTTGTTTAGGGGTGGCACAGAGTTACAGAGGGGAACCATGACTGCAGTTTGGCTAAGATTAGAATTCAAGAGAGGCACAAACGAACATTTTGCACATCCATCCAAGGCATTCCAAAAAAAAAAAAAAAAAAAAAAAAAAAAAAAAAAAAAAGTCACAAAAGTTGACACATCACTTTGGACAAGGAACATTACAAGTTTGGCAACTTTTCACCAAACCCCCCCACCCCAGCTCTGCAATGTCCCTCTGTAATTTGAGGTGATCTCTTAAAGGTGGGGATGTGAGGGGGCTGCAGGTAAATCACTGTGTGTAAATAGGGGATCTCCTCCGCAAAGGATCTTGTGGGGTCAGACAAACCTACCTGCTTGGAACAGTACAAAAGAAATTCTGCCTGAAGCCCTCCCTGGTGAGAGGGAAGGAGACAGAGCCCACACTGCTGAGACAAACAAGGCAAAGCTGAACTTGGCAGCAGCAAGTCCCTAAACCATGTAACTTTGCACCAGGCTAAGATATGGCCATGGCAGATACTTGGGGGGGAAGATGTCACACTCTTCCTCTGTGGAGAAGTGTAAAGGATGGGAGTATAACTCTATCACTACTATGGGTGAACACAGGCCTCTTTGTTTATGCATACAAAGTAATGGGCTTTGGAAAATACCAGGAGCCCATGTGGAATAGTGTTACCAGTAAGACCTGTGTCAGATGGACACACAACTCCCCTCCCCTCAGATCTAAACTCAGCTCTTAGGAATTGAACAAGGAACAGATACAAAGCAAGGACAGAAAAGTCTGTGAGGGTTTTTTAGGAGTGGTTGTTTTGTTCCTCCTTTTAAAGCCCTGTTCTTCAGATCTGGGGGAGAAGTGGGGGAGCCCTGCAAGGTCCCTGCACTTTTCTGGTGGCAGACCTGGGAGCAAGCAATGGCACAGCTCCAATATGGACCTTCCCACCCACAGCAGCCTGTGGAAGGTGGGATTGACTACAAGGGCCTGGGGACCTGAGCAACCTTCACAAAGGCTCCGACTGGGAATCCAGCCCAGCCACTGTCAGAAAATTTCAATACAGCGCTGGCCAAGTAAATAAAACAAATACTTGTGGATAGGACTGTCCAACTGGAAGAGTCTTTTCCTTTCTCGGTTTCCAGGGTAAGAGAAAAGCCTTTGGTTATGACCAGAATTATTTGCCATTGGCAGGACAGGCTTGGCTTTGCGTTAGCTTGGTTATTGTACAAGGGCTGGGTTGCTCTGTGGAGAGATGCTCTGCCCAGCTGGACTGCCCTGTGACATCTGGGAGTTTAATGGAGTGGACACTTGAATTACATCCGGGATCCTCGCTCCTGAAGAATCTGAAACAGAAAATACCTTCTATGAAAACCTCAGACAAATTTAAATGCAAAAGTTCCTGTTCAGAGTCCTTGTTTTTTGCAGAGAAAGGAAGCATGGACAAACGTGAGAACAGCTTGCAGGCTTTTATGGCACCACAACAACTGATAGGCTGGTTAAGGGTGAGCGCCTTCTCTAGAAATCCTACTCAGCTGCTTGCCAGGAAGTAAAGATGTTGCCTTTTGTTTTTATTCTGTGAAAAAAAAGTGAATTCATAGAATAGTTTGGTTTGGAAGGGACTTTAAAATTTATCTTGTTTGACCCCTCTGCCATGGGCAGGGACATCTTCCACAAGACCAGCCTGCTCAGAGTCCCACCCAACCTGGCCTTGAACACTTCCAGGGATGGGGAGGATTGAAAGAGAACAAAAATCTTGTTTCTCCCTGCAACATCCTTCAACCACAAAACCTAACCTCAAAGGTCCTTGCTAATCTGTTCTCCCTCTTCAAGTTCCTCTTTACTTCAGTATTTTGGTCTTAATTTGAAGTGCACAAAGAGCCTTAGCTCTTGTCCTACAGTAAATCATGAAATCTTTCAAGAGGGAATAGAAAAGGTAATGGGAAAGCTGATCCACAGAACTACTGCTGCAGCTTGGTGCTGAAAAGGTTTTTCCTTCTAGGGGAATTCAAATGGATACATCTGAGCAGGTGCCTTACCTTGGCCTTCTCACTTGGCTCCTTGACAATGCCATTGGTAGAATTGTTGAGCTCCCTGGACACAACACAGAGGAATTCTGCCTGGTCTTCATTTCCATAGTTATAGGAAGATCCAATGCTGATCAGCTGTGCAACAGGAGACAGCCAAGGTAAGTTTTGATTTTATTCCTACAGTTGCTGTGAGACAGGACTGTCCCAGGAGATCTGTTCTGGACTAAGTGTCCCCTGCATCCTCCTGTGTGTGTGTGTGTGTAAGGCAGGGACACATCCAAGCTCCACAGCCCTCTAGTGGCACCTGGAGCCCCGGGAAGGAATTCCAGCTTGAGACTACTGCTGAACACAGCAGAACATTGCTCAGTTTCTGAGGGTGCAAAAAGGGAAAACAGATTGTGCAATATATAATACCCACTTCACTCAGACGTGGGTAGGCATTGCAAGTTGCCTGGACCTTGCTGAACTCATCTCTCAAGTGCCTTGTGGCTGATGTGGAAATGGGAATTCTTTACCCCAGGCAGATGTTGGATTAACTGGGGACATGTGGCAAACAGACACTGTCCTTTATTTGGATGTTGCCAAGATGGAGTCTGGTATCTGTGTAAACAGGATTATATTCTATTACTGTTGTGCTGAGGGGATCTGGACTCAATCCAAAAAATCCCATCTGCCTCATGCATCATTATTATATTAAAAGGACCATCCTGGAGTACAGAGTTAATTTGTCATTTACAACTCAGTTCTGCTTTCCAGAAAACAAATCCAAGTCATCTGAAGAAAGCATTCTGGTGACTCGTATCAATTGTGTGTGTCTGGGAAACTTTAATGTACAGCATGCACCTTAACTTCCATGTCCAAATAGATTTTGGAAGAGCCAGCTCCATATTTATAGATTATAGATTTGAAAAGGAAGAACAGGAAAGATCTAACGGTGCAGGTTCCCATAAAAGGCACTGCCTGTAGCCTCAAGGTTTTGGGGGTGCAAATATGGATGTGTGAAAGGCAGATTCTGTAAACTGTTGGACAGCAAAACCTGGGTGCTGGAGAACTGCATTTTCATGGAGCAATGAGTGGTTCTTGGTCACAGTATTTCACAATTTCCTTACAGGGGCAGGTTTTTGGCCACCTCTCCACTCTGAGATCGTTTTCAGGCATTACAGAACAGATCCATGAGAACAACTGATGGGAAGTGCTGTTCCTAATCCTCTGCCTCACTTCATGTCAGCACACTGACAGCATCCACCTGTACTGAAGCTGGACCAAATAGGAAGACACAGCTGTAATCCACAGACCCTATTCTGTAGTTTCTTAATATAACAACACAACACCCAGGCCTGCTGGCTCCAATTCTCCCTCCTCAGAAATAAGAGAACTGTGCTTGATTCCAGAAACCAAATGTGGAACTAATGCCATATGCAACTGCAGTGACACCCAGCCCTGGAACCAGCTGCACTGCAAGGACATCTGCAGAAAGTTCTCATGTCACTCTGAGCCTCTTTAGCAAATGCAGCAGTCATGGCTTTGAGGTTCCAAGAAAGTTGTGCTGTGCTTTTTCATGGCTCTGGTAATTTTCCTGAATATAACTGTTATGTTGTGGCATCGTGTATGTGATGAAATGCAAGAGAAGGGAAGAACTGCTCTGGGATTTGACAAGGAGACAAGAAGCCCTGAGAGAAAATGAAATCTCTCTGGCAGCTTGAGTGACTTCTGCTCTCCTGTGTAGGTAACTGGACACAAGTGAATTGCTGCTCAGGTCAGGCTGCTTATTCAGAAGAGCAGAGCAGTGTGAAGAGTAACTCAACAGGCAACTCTCCTTATTCCACATCCAGTTTTCAAAGGAATTCTGCCATTCTTTGGTAATGGTACCTGTTCAAATTTCCATCCGTCGGACATGGTGGACACCATCTGTGTGAGCTCTTCCTCTTGGCACTGCAGCACTCTGTACACGTGTTTCACGGGTCCCTGGAGCACAGAGAACAATTGTTAAGTGCAGTTTAGCAATTGCTTTACTAGTATCACTCTAGAAAATTAATAAGCAGCTCCAGCTCTCATCTTAGGAACTCAGAGCCCCACAGGCTTTTTTATCTCACTGATTCCAAAACAGAACCATATGCCTGGCACTCTTCTCTTAAAAGCTTTCTAGGTGTCTAAGCTACAGTGAAAGCAAAACTTCTTTAGCTTTCAAAGCCATTTACTGCTTTTTGAAAACATTTCTGAAATTGGATCTACTGGATGTGCTGATATCAGCTGAGCATCAACGGGAAACATGTCACAGAGACACAAAGGGAAGAAATGGTTTAGAGAAGGAAGAGTTTGAGCTGTTCTTTGCCAAAACAGTATGTTTTGCTTTATAACCACCCATTTCTGCTCCTGGCTCTTCTCCTGTAAGTGTCCCTTGCTTTTTCCTACAGTGCTGAGATGACTCAGTGGTCTATGCTTTATAAAGGCATACTGAGGACTCTTTGCTAGCCATGTCCCAATCCACCTACAGCATTTATTCCCCTGTTACTGCTGAACCAAAGAAATGCTACTGCAAGGGCTGCAGCCATGCATGCCCTCCTGTATCACCAAACTGACTCCATAAGCCAGAGCTGCATTACTTGAGAGGTTCTGTTCTCGTTGTCCCGTATCCGCTCCTTCACCAGCCGCACCAGGGACGCGATGTTGTAAAACTCAGCCTCTTCCAGCACCCCTGAGGAGGAACCCAAAGCACAGATTCTGTTACTTTGCACAGGATAGAATGAAGATGATTCTGTCACAAGGATGCAAACCTGCTGCTAACTCCAAATCTAGCCCAGATGTCAGAATCCCAAATGTGCCACCCACCTCCTGCTCTCAGGCTAGGAGAAAATGCCTGACTAGCTGTCACCTCCTTTTGTGACTTAAGAGGATCTTTAAGAAAAATTATTCCCCTTTCCCTGGAATTATCAGAAATCTCATGGTATAATGTCTATTTCTTCACCCAGCCCCATCAAGGGAAAGCCCTCAGAGCTGCCTATTTGGGAAGAACCATGGTCTGTAACAGACCTTGGGCTCAGAGTGTGACAGGGTGTGCTGTGAGCTGCAGCCTCTGCTTTCAGGAAGACACAGAATCTGATGACTTAATCCTCGCTAATGAGCAATTAACAGTACTAACAGCACTCCTGGGAAATTTGCTCACACTAGTTTATGGTGAGGGCTCCTGGACGTGCTACCAAACAGCATTTCCAGCCTTTCCTGCTGTTTTTGTCTTACCTTCCTCTGCAAGCTCCTTGTTGATGATGAGCTTCCCGTGCCGGAGGTAGTTCAGTATTGGACCAAAGTACGTGGGGTCTCTGTCAATGAGATAGGCCCCGGTCTCATCCTGGGAGCAAAACAGGGACAGCTCAGTGGTACCATGAAAAAAATAATTTCAATCTAACAATCAATTGAACAGTTTCTCTTTGAGAACCTGGATTCATTTGCCTGTGGGAGGTGTACAAATGATGCTACATTTAAGCCATTTTTCTTTTTCAGTATCTGATCTATGAACACAGCAGCCCCAGTAAGGCTGGCAGATGCCTCACATAAAGCACTTGTACACACAGTTTATGGACCTGGAGAAAAAAGCTGGGATTAGGAGGGCTTTTTCACTGCACTAAGAACCAAAATCTGGCGCTTGTGTTCTGGCTGAGCCTATTCTCCAGACTATTTAACAAGGAGCCTCTGGAGGAAAATGGGATCTCAAGTTCTAGCTAAGGGCACCTGGCAGCCAAAGCAGTTATTCTGTTTTTCCCTTTCCACTACTGCAAACACTCATTCCAATTGTCCAGCCATGTGTCCAGCAATACAACAAGTACTGGCATTAAATAACCATCAACTGACAGCCAAAAGCATCTCCTGAGCAGCTTTGAAGCACAAGCCCGATGCAGAACTCTCACATCCTTCTCTTAAGGACTTTGAAGAATTGTTCCTCCTGCCAATCTACTCTAAAGCAATAAAAAACAGTGTAAACCCACTCTGAAATATCTCCTCTCCTCACTGATGCTATTGACTGATATTTCAATCACAACCAGGATTTATCTCGTGAATAAACTCTGAATGAAGCAGCAACAGACTCAACTAATTCTGGCTGACCCACTCCCAACATATTTACAACACCTTGTGCAGCTGGTCCTATGGAAAATCTGCAATTGCGAGAATAATCGTTTGCAAAATCCTTACAGAAAACTGCAGCGACTTCAAAACTGTCCAGCCATGCAAGGAATGTGCATCATGATCTTTGATGAGAATGAAATATATTAAAAACCAAACCAACAGCAAACATGCTCGGGGTGAGAAATTGTAACATTCCCGTTTCTAGGAGTTTCCTTCCCTACTGTAACGACCGGGGGAATGTGGGCTGCTCCTTGAGCGCGGTCTGTGGGAGCAGGAGGGATCGGAACCTGCGGCATCTGGGTGTCACAGGTCCTGTTCCTGGGGGTGCCACCACCTCCCTGACCGTGCGACACGAGGGACAAGCCGCCGATGTGTCCGAGTGACGTGCCCCAACGCGTGGGACACCGGCTCATCCACAGCCCGGGCCCGGGGCCATGCAGGGGCCCGGGGCCATGCAGGGGCTCGGGGACAGCGGCAGCCGGGGGTGTCCCACGCCCGAGGGACAAACCGGGGCACCGTGGGGACCCCGGCGACTCAAGGAGGGGCTGTCCCGGTACAGGGGGTCCCGGCCCCGCCGCGGCCTCACCTTGTCGGAGCCGAGCTCGGGCCCGTCCTGGCAGCAGAGGCGGCACAGGAAGGACTTGGGCTCCCGGCACAGCGTTTGCCGGGTGCTCACGAAATACGTGCCGCCCACGTTCAGCCGCACCCACTTGGAGGCGGCGGCGGCGGGCGGGGACAGCGCCCCGGCGGATCCCGCCGCCGCTCCGGCCGCGCGGGGGCTGGGCGGGCCCGGTGCCCCGCCGGGGCCCGGGCTGGGCGTGCGGCCCCTCGGCGGCCCCTCGGCCATGGCGGAGCCTCAGCGCCCGCCCGCCGCCATCGCCGCCCGCGCCGCTTCCGCCCGCGCCGCTTCCGGGCGTGATGACGCGCGGCGGATCCGCGCTCTGATTGGGCGGCGGGAGCCCGGGGGGCGGCGCTTCCGGCGGCGGGACGGCGGTGACGGTCAGTGAAGGTGAGAGCGGGGCCGGGGCCGGGGCCGGCTCGGGAAAGGGTCCCGGGCACGGGGAGCGGCCGGGGAGGGGTCGGGAGTCCCGAGGCTGGGGAACAGGACGGCTTGGAGACGTCCTCGGTGTTGGGAGGCTGGTGGGAGAGGGCGGGGGACAGCGTGAGGTTGCGGCGGGGCTCAGGAGCGACCCCTGCGTCCCGATCCCCGTGTCCGCATTCCCTCCGTGTCCCCGTCCCGTTCGTGACCCGACCCTTTCCGTGTCCCCGTGTCCCGCCCCATCTCGCCCTCTCGGAGCCGCGTTCCCCAGCCCCGCTCCCCGCTCCCCGCCGCCGCTGTGACCCACCGGTGTCTCCCGGGCCAGGCGGAGCCATGGCGGGACGCAGAGCTGCCCTTAAGGCCGTGGACTGGGCGGCCTTCGCCGAGCGGGTGCCTCCGAACCAGCGAGCCATGTTCAACGCGCTGAAGACCCGCAACGATGCACTGACAGCCCGGTGAGTGCCCGGCCCGGCCCCGGTGAGTGCCCGGCCCGGCCCGGTGAGTGCCGTGCCCGGCCCGGTGAGTGCCGTGCCCGGCCCGGTGAGTGCCGTGCCCGGCCCGGTGAGTGCCGTGCCCGGCCCGGTGCCCGCCCCGCTCCGGCGAGGCCTCTCAGCCCTCGCCCAACACCGGCTGTCTGTCTGTCGTTCTCTGGTCCCGCAGGAGTGGCCTCGCAGGTATTTAATCGGGTCACCTTGTGGCAGCTGCTGGCTTTTTTTGGCAAATCACCTTTAGTTAATCTTCCCCAGAGTAAACCCGTAGCTGCAGTTCTGTGAACGCACCTTGCTTTGGCTCAGGCTTTGTCACTGTTAAGTGCTCTGCAAATTCATCTGTGGTTCTCAGATCATTTACATACAAGTGCTGGCTGTTGCAGGGAATCTTGCCGATTGCCTCTGGCTCAGTGTTGTGAAACAGCCTCATCCTTCCTCAAGGGCTGCACCCAGAGGGGCTGAATGAAGTGGGGCAGAGCTGCAGGCTGAGCTGTGCCTGTTCCAAGGGCAGAGGGATTTGCAGAAATGGCGTGTTTCAAACCTGGGAACACCCAAACTAAACACAGCAGGCTGTGCTGATGCTCAGGCTGCTGCTCATGTGTGCTGTGCTCCATCCTTTCAGGTTGGCTGCCCTGCCAGAGAAGCCCCCGGCCATCGACTGGGCTTTCTACAAAGCTAATGTTGCCAAGGCTGGAATGGTGGATGAGTTCCAGAAGAAGGTCAGCCTCCTTGCCAGATGGATATTGCTCTTTAGAGTTTAACTGGGGCATAGAGAGGAAAACACCAGGATCAGCAGAGGAAGTTGGTTGTGTCACTATGAAAATCTGCCTCCCAGGACTGGAGGCACCCACTGAGCTCAGATGGGTCTGGGAGCTTTGTGCTGGGGGCAATAGCTGTGATAGGGTAAGTCTGTGCTGTTGGACCTGCCAGCTTTCTTACAGTGCTGTGAGGAATGGATGGTGGTGTGTGTCCTGGGGGCGGTGGACAGGACAGAGGAGATGTCTGGAAGCTCCTGGGTGAGCAATTGCTGCTTGGGAGGGACAGGGACAGCTGCACTGATCACTTTTAGCTCATTAACATACACGGTTGTGAGCAAATCCTAGGAAAACATGAGGAAATGCTCCCCTGCTGCTAGGGAAGGTGACCTCGATGTGAAGGATTGTTTCAGTCAAACAGACCTTAAAAAATTTGTCTTTCAATTTACAGTTCAGTGCACTAAAGGTTCCTGAGCCTGTGGATACACAAACTGCCAAGATTGATGCCCAGGAGAAGGAAACTGTAAGTGAACCATTCACTACTGCTGGGGTTGTCCCTGCCTTCTCTGGGGATGGGAAGGGGTGAGAGGGAGGGGATGTTTTGGATGTGACCCTGCACAGAGCCAGGGCACAGCTCTGCCCTTCACACATCCCTGGCTTTCTGAGCAAGGGGATCCCTGCACAGGGAAGGTTTTGGCTGTTTGGGGTCTGCTGGAGATTCCATCAGTTACCCAGTGTAACAATGATGGATTTTAATGCCAACTGAAAATATGGTGGGGGGCCGTGTGCAGGTTCACTGTGGGTCAGTGTCTTTGTCATAACCACTCTCCCCACATCCTCTGCTCTCTCCAGGCCAAGAGCACTGCTGAGTACATCCAGGCTTCCAAAGCCCGCATTGCCCAGTACGAGGAGGAGGTGAGGCTGGACTTTGCTTAGGGAACATTTTCTGGAGCACACCCCTTGCTCTCCTGGGTGTGCTTTGCTCCTTCCTGCTGACCACTGACTTGTAATGTGTCTGTCCCTGCTTCCACAGCTCCAGAAGCTCAAGAGCATGATTCCCTTTGAACAGATGACGTTTGAAGACTTGAGTGACGCCTTCCCTGAAACCAAACTGAACAGGGAGAAATATCCATACTGGCCCCACAAGTCAATTGCTGATCTGTAAACTGGTCAGGGAGCAGTTTAATGACTGTCAGACTTCATGATCTTCTAAATAAAGAGCTTTCTCTGTCTGTGGCTTAGATTTTAGACATGAGTTCTGAGTAATGTGAAGCAATACAGTAACTCACAAACATTCCACTTTTCCTGGATTTTGTGTTTTCTACTCATGAGCTTGTTTTGGTACCAGGGGACCAAGCTCCCTGTCCTGCTGGTCAAAGTGAGCCCTGTGAAATGCAAATAAACCTCCTGTTCCTCTCTGTAACCACGAGGTGCAGGGAATGTTCTCCTGTCCTTGCAGGCAGACACTTGCTCAGAAGTAACGTGTAGCCCTTTGAGATAGGGCTGGAGTGTATTTGGTAGTGATTTGTGTGTGTCTGGAGTGTCTCAGGACTTCTACAGGCACAGGTCTGGCACTGTTTTCTAAGCTGATTATGATTGTTTAGGAAAGCCAATTGTAAAGGGAGTTGAAGGAGTGTTGGTGTGTTGAGATGCACATTAAAAAGTTACTTTTTGAGTAATTTTTAAAGACACTCAATCATGGTGCTCCTTTTCTCTACCCTGGATTTCTGCACACTGCTGATCTCACTGGAAGTCACACAAACAATAGTAAAGACTTGCATTATTTTATTTAATAATCTGAGGTGGAATTCTTAAACACCTTCCTTCAAGATGGAAACTCCTCTAAGAGAAGGCAATCAACTCCCTTTCTTCTTGGTCATGTCTGAGGTCAGAATTACAGATATGTAGAATGAAGGTGTTATCCTCCGATTTTACAACTAAGGTATTTTATTTACTTAATTTATTTATTTACTAAGGTATTTTATTCAAATACCTTAGTAGCCCACAGAATGTTTCAAGAACATCTGTAGTTCTACTGAACCAGAGTACAAAGTACTATGCATGCAGATCTTGGGTCCTGCGACTTTGGATTTTAATTAAATTTTGTTTTATTCAGGAAACTGAACTGCAGCTCTACTAACTGACCAGGAGCAAATTACAGCAGGGGGTCAGAAACAACACAGTAGAGAACAACAGAGCTGGCACTGGGCAGAGCTGATGTTCAGCTGCTCCATTTTATAGAAACCACAGTAAAAAAGATCAGGGACAGGAAGAGGTGGCTGAAGAGAAGCACCTTCTCCAGAACTGGAAGGAACGGGTCCAGCTCCTGCAGCTGCCAGAGGCGCTTGGTAAGCTGCCCTTGTCCCTGGGCCTTCTTGGGAGGGGGCAGCAGCTGGGGACCCCCCTTGGCCAGGGTGCCCATGGGTCTCTTGGGCAGCTCCTGTGGGTCTGCAGGGAGCAAAGGGCAGCGTCAGCACAGGGGGGTCACCGTGGCCCACACTGCCCGGGGCACTGTTTGCCCCTGAGGAAGCCCACCCTGGCTCCACCAAACATGCAGGGAAATGCCCCAGACCTGCTCTATTCCAGGTGTTATGGGGTGTTTTACCTTGCTGGAAGCTTCTGAGGACCTTGTCCAAGCGCAGGGATTTGCGCTGCTGGTACAACAGGAAGAAGGTGTCTAACACAGCCATGATCATGAGCAGGAAGGTGCCCAGGAAAAACACCACTGCAGAACAAGAGGAAAACAGAAAAAGCTCTGGATAATTGGCATTTTCTTATATTCCATTACCTGGTGGGGAACAGGGAAAGTCTAACTCCAGCAAGCTAATCAAGCTTAGCTGTTCATGGCTTCAGTGTTCATGAACGTGTCTATAAACACCCAAAAACCTTCCTTAGGGCTGGTACCTGGGTGAAAATCAGGGTTAATTGAATAAAGGTGGGTACCTATTATGGGTGGCTTGTTGGAGGAAGTTGGGAGGCTGTTGTTGAGAATCACAGCCAGCATGGAGCTGCCGAGGATGATGGCAATCTGGAAGTTGATTTTCTCCTCGAGAGAGCTGGGACCAAACAACACAGCCATGTCCAGCAAGTACAGGGCACACGTTGGGAGGATCAAGTTCAGAACATAGAGAGTGGGTCGTCTCTCCATGGAAATCTGTTGAGGAAGATGGGCAAAATTTGATGAGCAGCAGATGACTCAATGTGTTGACAAATGTTGGTCCCCTAATGTAAAAAATTATCTTGTTTAATACTGGAGTTTTTTTGGTGCCAAAACAGTGCAATGTAATATGGAAGTGCCGCCATACCACATAGGTGACCACAGAAAATCCTTTGTCGTCCATCATTGCTGTGAATTCCACGATGCTCAGGTTGGTAAACTTCCATTCTCCATCAGTTAGGATGAAACTCCTGCTGTCTTCCATGATCTCAGCTGGTGTCCGTCTCGTCTTCATGACAAAGTCTGTTACTGCTTGGGCAGGGGGCAAAGGGGAGAGGGAAGTTGAAGAATTTAGGAATTTGTTAGAGGTCAGTTACTCCTCTCCACTTCCCACCCAACTGAGGGTGTATGCAGAAAGGAAGGGGGAAGGTTCAAGCACTGCTCGGGTTTCTCAGCCCGTGAGGGAGAAATTAAAAAGGTCTCTGTGAAGATGCTTGCCTGGACCTCTGAGAATGTGGATCAGAGGGGAAACATCTGTTGAATTAGGGCAGTTGTCCTTTGTGGATGGGACTAGGGAGATTTTGTCACCTCTGCTTATGAACTCTTAACTGCAGTCTGAATCCCTGAAACTGTCCTTTTAATAGTTGTATTTGATGCCCTTGGAAATATTTTCCAACCTTAGGATTCTATGATTAATTTCCTCCCACTTCTATGGCTTTCAGGTGTGTTTAAAGATCAGTCCTGCAAAATTCTATGTAAACAAGTAGCAGTTTTGCAGGAAGCCTCCTGGTCTCGTGTCTCTTGGTTTGTAGAAACCATTCCTGGGAGGGGCTTGCCACAGAACATCTGGATTGTTCCAGAGATGTTGCTGGGAAATGTGCCAGGACAGAATAGCAGCATTTTAACTCATTTTCCCTGGTTTCATATGACCCCAACCCCACTGTGAGCATGTGGGGCTGCTCAGGAGCCCAAGAGTTACCAGGGCCCATTTCATCTAGCCCTCCTTCTCCAAAGTCAGCCCAGAGGTGGAAAAGCTCAGCCTGCAGCTGTACCTGGGTAGAGGAATGAAGCTACGCTCAAGTTGCACATCTGGGTGTCGAAGGGGAACTTGAGGATTATCAAACTGCACGTCAGGGTGACCTGGTAGGGCCGGGTGGAGTTGAAGCTGCCGTTGTGCATGAGGACCACGTAATTCAGCTCTGGGTTTTGCCCGTTCACTCTGGAGGGAACAGACAGGGAGAGTAACGGAGCCTGAGATGCTGCCTGTCCCTCAGTCCCATAAAACCAGGCTGTGAACACCCTGCTGGGGGGCTCTTAGCCATCACCCAGCCATGGGATGCAGCAGGAAGAGAGGAAATCAGGTCTGGAGAAGGGCCCATGAGCCCTCTGGGATCAATTTTTGCTGTAGCTCTGCACCTCCTGAGCACCTCCTGCCTCTCTGCCCTCTGCTTCGTGGCCTCACCAGGGCAGGGGCTCATTCCTGGCTCTGCCTCCCACTCCTTTCTCCCTCTGGAGAGCTGGTGGAGGTGCTCATCCCTCTGTCAGACCCTCAGTATCTTTCCACACACTACTAGAGGTCACTGAATGCCACAGCAGCGCTGGTTTCTGCTGCTTCCTCGGCTTTAGCTACAGCCCAGGCGGGATATTCCAGGAGCTGTTACAGTATTACACAGCCACTAAGTGCTTTGTATAAACTGTGGTCACCATTAATCTAAATTAGGAGGCTCTCAGTTACAGAGAGCTCAAGGGAGCAACTTTCAACCATCTGAGTTTGTCCCATTTCCTATCATATAACCAACAGTTTGCATCCTTTGTACTTCTGTTAAGCCAGCAGATAAAAATGAAAGGGGAACATACCGCTCTAAGAAGAAGATGGGGGGCGACCAATATGTATCCATGGGCAGAACAATTTCAGAGATGTTACAGAAATCCCGTGGGTTCCAGGTTGCAAAAGGGTTCTGCCATTCCTGAGGGAAGAAGTTGCAGGAGAGAGATGAGCTCTGGGCTAGGCACCAGACTTTGGGTTGGGCATCAGGAGAGAAACGCTCTTGAGGGACCTACCAGGTTCAGGACGAAGTAAAAGCTGACTGTCTGGAGCTTTTCCACCTGGAGAAACAAAGATATTTAGCTGATTTGCTTAGATGTATCCAACACAGAAGCTCTTCCCTGAGCACAGACTGCAGTTAACAGGGCTTGGGAAGAGAGCTCATGGCTCTTGGTCCTACGGCTGAAGAGTGGGAGCACACAGTCCAATGGTTAGGAAAAATAATAGATTATTTCCATGGCAGTGTCCTGCAAATGCACTGCCCAGTTCAGGCACTCTGCAGGGTGTTTGGAGCCTCCTCCAAAGCAGGCTGCTTGTCTAAATGTGACTTCTCGAAGGAGTGGGAGAAAAAAAGTGCTTTCCAACAGCAGAAAGCTGAAGTGGAAGGGGCTGATTCTCACCCCTGTGGACTTGCTGTCAGAAGACTCAAACTCTGCCCTAGTAATAGCCCAGTTTCCTGTTGTAAAGACTCATTTTGGGTCCTTACCACTGAGAGAATTGCCACCAGAAAAAAATCCATGGTCACTTCCACAGGCTCCTGTAAGTCTTTCTTGGGCAGAATGTACGTGTGCAGCTTGTCATGAGAGGAGATGTTCAGGTAGTCAACAATGTCATAGTAGGTGCAGAGGTACTTTGGAGCAGCCCCTGCTGGAAAGAGAATTCCACTTGAAACACAAAAACATCAGGCAACTTTCAAGAGATGCATCAAAAAAGAAAGGCTGTGGAGCTGTGGATGTGAAAAACATCATTAACACACAGAAATCCCTTCTCAAACAGATGAGAACAGAATTCCTCAAAGGTTTTCTATCCCCCTTGCACTTACCTGTCCCAAGAGAAAAGGTGAGGACGGCTACAAAAACTCTCTGCATCATCTCCTGCTTCCAAATAAGGAGGAGAATGGTACTGTGTATCTTATGAACCAGTCCGAACACGTCATTTGTTATGTGGAAGTTGATTTGATATTTATTAATGAGGGATGGATTTTTGTAAACAGACATTTTATCTCTTAGGAAGAAGAGTTTGCTAATGGTTTGATGCACTCAACTGGCTCTTGGGAGTAGCCTTTAGTTGTGGTCAAGGAAAAATAAGGTTATTAAA